ATCAGCGCGTTGGCTGTTCGACTGACAATCAGAAGTTCGGATGAAATCATGTGTGCCGACCAGATGATGGTGGTCGGCGCAATGAAGTACTGTAACGACGATTTTTGAACTAAGGTTTAGTAGTTTCGTCTTTTAATTTTTCTCATTGATTGATTTATTGATTGATTGATTCATTCATTCATTCGTTCATTCATTCATTTTATCACTCAATCTTTCAAATCATTTTTCCATTAATTTATTTTTTTAATCATTGAATCATTAATTAATTCATTGACTCTTGACTCACTCAGGCATTCAACATTCTGCCTTTGTCGAATGGACGAAAGTAAATTTTGTTTACATTTTACTCTCTTTATTATTTTAAAATATTATTTATTTGCCATTATTTTCATTTTATAATTTTTTTCTTTTAAGATTCTAACATTCATTCATTACTAGGCTAATAAAAAAATTTGTCTACAGAATGATGAGAGGTGGGTTGTGGTGGGCGTCAGCACGTTTCAGATGGTGGTCTCATGATGATCGTTCCGATGACAATTCGAAGATGACAATAAGAAGTTTATTTATTTGCCATTATTTTCATTTTATAATTTTTTTCTTCTAAGATTCTAACATTCATTTATTACTAGGCTAATAAAAAAATTTTTCTACAGAATGATGAGAGGTGGGCTGTGGCGGGCGTCAGCACGTTTCAGATGGTGGTCTCATGATGATCGTTCCGATGACAATTCGAAGATGACAATAAGAAGTTTCTGGAGAGTTAACGCGCGCACATTTACGCACATACATCAATACAACACACACATACACAACATCCATTCAATCGGTGTCGTTGTTATGTTTCTCTTCAACTTTCTATTTTCTTTACCTGACTTAATTTTATTCATAGGTAAGTTAGGGATTGAGATGAGTTGAACAATCGTAGGTAGGCTAGGGCTTAACATTAGTTAAAAAGTTTCAAGTAAAATAAAAACGCTGAAATATGTAAAATAAAATACCTAAACATGTAAAATTCCAAAAACGTAGAAAAACATATTTGTAGGTAGGTGAGTTGAGTTAATGATTATAAGTAAGCTAGGGCCCTGAGAGTAATTTAATTGTAGGTAGGTGACTGACTACTATTCTTGCGACTTTTTAATAGTTTTTTGTGATGTGTTTGTTTTCGCTTCACAGCCCCACACCAACAAAACAAACTACATTTTCTTCTCGTCGTCGCCTTAAACTTTACCTTTTTGAACAATCTTTTTAATAATGTCTATTTATTTGATTATTTATTAAATGTTGACTGGTTTCAAGTTTTTTTAATTTGGTTATACAATTTTTGGATATTTCTTGATTTAATAAAAGCAACTATTGTGTTTTTCTTTCTTTACTAAAATCTCGAAATTGTTTGTAGATCTGTACAGTTAAGTGTTTGTTCGAGTTTGAACAAGCCTTGCAAATATTTTTCAAATATGGTTCATTGATTGGTTAGTTGACTAGTTGATTGAATGAATGGTTGGTTGATTGATTGGTTGATTGATTGATCTCATGGTATTTTATATATGAAAAAAAATCCGATTAAGCCAAATACGGCTTTACTTGGCCACTGTATTTTACCAGACAAAAGCAATTTCTTTATTTATATTGACAAAAATAATTGTGAAATGAATATATTGACTTATTTAAAGCATTATATGTAAAGAAAACTGCCATGACACTGTTGTATGAGACCCAGTAAGCCACCGCAGTAAGCCAACGTATGATTTCAGCAACCATAATTTCTATGAGCACCAGCGGAATGTAAAATATTCATTGAATATAATGAAGATAGTTGTTCAAATAACAATTTTGATCTATTTAGGTCGTTTATTTCATGAGCAAACAAATTTTTAACATGATCGAATAGTGTAAAAAAGGGTGACTTTAGTTCAATCCTACTTAGCCAACCTTCGGCTTCAGTAAAAAACCACCGGATTTCACAGGACCAAAAGTATAATTTTTATATTAAAATTAACAACAATAATTTAATAATACATCATTTTATTTAATAAAATCATAATTTTATTTAATAAAATTAAAGAGAATTACTACAATGTTTAAAGCATATTAAGTCAAGTAAATATTTCATATAGCTTGCTCGTTAAAATCCATGCAATTTCGTAAGCCAATAATCCAAGAACGACAAATTATTCTAATTATATGAAATTATCCACATAATTGAATAACTAGCAAAAATCATTGAATATTAGTTATTTTAAAAAATATATTCTTTATTCCCAGGCCTAAGCATTGTAAGTAAAAATTTTACAACCAATCAAGCAATAGGATTTAGGATTTTAGGAACAAGTGCTGTTAGTGTAGTAGTTGTAGTATGTAGTAGTGTAGTGGTTGGTAGTCTCTAGTAGTCTAATCTGTTAATGTTCGTTAGTGTTATCTGTTATTTATTTTAATTAGTAATTAGAATTAGTAGTTTAGTTTTAGCTTAATTATTAGAGTTTAGTAATTTAATTACTAATTAGTCGTCGTTAATGTTGTTACGTTACCCTTACCGGTTACAGTTAATCGTTAACGAGTCAAGTGTTAGAAGAGTGGTTCACAAAAAATTTTTTTAATTTAAAATGCAAAAACCGTCATACAGCAATATCTATCCTAAAACAGCATCTAGTATCACCTTTCAAAACATTTTAAATAAAAGCAATATTCCGAAATTAGTAAATAAACGATCGTAATTTTAGACTTGGGCGATAAAAAATCACCCTCCAATTCCCCTCCGGAAGTAAGCTCCTTGCTCGACCGTCAAAAATGAGCAAAGGCCGTTATATTTATTCTATATATCCATGGCTGAACGCCTATATAAAATACAGCACACGTCCAATTAGAGGTTTTCTTTCACATCAATATATTGAATGCAATTCGTCGAAATAATAATAAAATATTATTATTAGTGTATATAATAACAATAATGTATTTTACATGTACACGTGTTCTTCTCACTAGATTGGCCTGGTACCCACAACGTTGCAATTATCAGACCTGTGTATTATCTCCGTGCAACTGGTGAGTTTCATAAGGTTTCGCCGAGATCTAAAAGCCTTCATGTTTGCTCAGTGAACGTTGACATAAGTAGCACTTTTGAGATAATTTTTTTATAAAAAAGCGCGTTGTAATTTTTTTCAACACAATTATCTTTGAAACTATGAGAATATGATTAGTTTTTGAATAAAATAAAATGGTTTTAACATAATCAAAACACAATACAACATAGCCTTTAATCAGAAGCAAACTATATTTCAAACAAAATGATGTCTATATATTACATAAATATCCATAAAAAATCCATCTTCAACCACGATTACGTAAAAAACTAGATAAAAGGTTGGGAGAAAATAGAAACATGCAAGGCCAAACGAGTTCTTTTTAATATGGACACGTAATTCGACCTGTCTTAAGCGAAAGAATGAAAATTTCTTTTTCAGCATTTCTTATTTCTCTCTTCTGTTGCTTGTATAACAGTTTCAAATTCATCAACTCTTCGTCTTCCTTCATTTTTTCTGTATGACTCTTCTCCCTCTTCAAAGAAAAATAGTGCAAAATTATAACACGACTTAATAATGTTTTTATGAGGGAATGGTGGGTGGAATAGCGAGAGTGGAATATAGTAATTAACCAACAGGTCTTGGGTAAAATAACCATTGGAAGTTACGAGATGATTTATGCTTTTTCTGCGTTATGAATAATATTTAACCCTCAACCAAAAAATTTTTTAGAAATTCATTTCACATTGTTTGTTCACTTTGGGAAGGCGAGTAAACATTCATTATAATTATAGCCGATGGAAGATTTTAGTAAAAGAATATTGCAACGGTCAAATACCAAGTAACTATTTGGAAAAATTATTAGTGTATATCTAGTAAAAGTGGTGAAATATGAAACCTACTTTATTATGCTCCTTATCTCCGTGTTGAATGTAATCAAAAACACTGTCCTTGTACAAAGAATTGAATTCACTGAGCAGCTGCGTGTTGGTCTTCAACTCTCTCGTTAACCAGGATTTTTTATCTTTAATTTCATTCTGAAAAACAAACCCATCATTTTTGATCAACTGACTAGACAAATTGGAATGAATTCGTGAAAATAAATATTTCAAAATCAATAATGCAAAGCACGCGATATATTTATTTTGATGATGCATTTCAGTAAATCTTATTTATTCAATGTTCGTTAGTTATTATATGTTAATCAACAATTATTCCATAAATTAACTTTACGGTAATCATTTACGGCTCTTCAAACGCTACATCAATACTAATCTACAACTATTACTACAAGACCAGCAAATTTCAACTTTCTACTTTAGCTTAATTTTACCAAATTGTACAAAGGGTAACAAATTGCAAGGCGACCAAGCAAAGTACGTTTTTAATTTTGCAAAAGATTTTAATCATGGAATGAAAAAAATTATAACATTTGGATTTGGTCTTTCACAACTGCAGTTATAAAAATTAAGCAAAACGGTGATGAAGTAATGTTAAAGTTTTTCATTTACTAAAGGTAAAATATGCATTTAAAGCAATGTAACCAAGCCAAATGTATTCAACATGGAAAGAGTAAGATGAAGAAGATGATAAAGAAAAAAAAATTAAGTCATTAAATTTTTTAACAAACAATAAAAATGTAACCTCAATATTTATTAAATCTCTGTTGTATTGGTAACCGAGGTTCATTATTCTACCTTTCACTTGTTCCAATGGTTGATTTATTGTGATTTTTTCTAAAATATTCAAATCAATAATTTTACCAAACTTATCAACCATCATTCTGTCGCATTCTTTCTTTGCCTCTTCTATCTTCAGCTGGACGTGTTTCTGATCTTTCACAAGTTTTGAATACTTTTTTTTGGCTTCCCTAATCAAAATTGAAAATTTTAATGAGAGGGCACTACTACATTAAATAGTTTATATTAATTACCCTTGCTGTCTTTTCAAGTCATTTTTTTCTTCTTTCAGTTCACTGATTCGCTGTTTCATTTTTCTGAGAACATTCTTATCAAACACAAGCGCGTTCTGCATGTCAAGGGACATGACTCCGTAGTTCACCGTCTCAATTTGCTTCATTGTCAGTGTAACAACGGTGTTAATTTCATTCAATTTCTTTTGTTTTTCAGACTGGTGTGTTGATAAATCATTGTCATTTTATTGAAACTTTTTAAAAATTGCATAAAATTATAATCAGGAACATTTATAACATTTATAAATAACCTGTCTGAAAAACACTTTAATCAACATTCTACCCAACAACATTGCAATGAAACATCTAATTCCCAAAGAATTATTTTTTTTGTATCTAAAAATATCTGCAAACTATGTAATATGGCTATGTAATTTTTCCTAATAGCTAGATTTACTTTTAATGTTTCCTTTTAATAAATATTTCCGAGCATTTCTGATGCTTGAACTAAAATAATTGGTAGATAACAGGACTGTCCAAATTATTTTTCCCACTTCAATTTTTTTTTCTCACCAAGCCTTGTATGGGCAACAGCAAAAGCCTCAAATATTCAAAACAGTCTCTTCTCCAAAAATTTCTCCATTCGTGTCTCTTTATAAACTAACATCTCACACAACCTGTTCGTTTGACCATTTTCAATAAACTTCTTTACCATTAGGTCTTATATTTTTCAACCTAATGTAAGTTTTTTTCATAATTCCACGCTTTCCTGAGACAACTTGCAGCGAAACCTTTCCATCCTTTTTCTTCATAATTCCTGCTATCATTTATAATCTTGAAACCATTAGACAAATTTGTGACAACAATGGATGGTGGATTTCTTTAAGCTTTGGTGGTACTAAATCAACTACGATCATTAGATAAATAAAAAATTAGTTTTACTTACCTGAAACATTTCTAAATTAGTTTTAGCAGTTTTGACTTCTTCTTCTAAAACTTTATTGATTCTTTGGAGTTCAGCAAGCTCTTCATAGAGCAAATCTCTATTCCTCTTTTCTTCTGCTATAGCGTCTTCCACATCCAGCTTTTGTTCTCTTAAAAGACACGTCCGATCGAACAAACTCTGCTCGCATCCAGTTGGACAGGTATCCAGATCAGCAAAGTGGTGTCTGCCTGATTCAGAATCAGTCAACTCATCAGTTGAAATATCAGATTCTGAGGAGGAATAAATGCTGCTGCCACCATCTTCATTATCGCTGCCTCGCTGGTGGGATTCGTGTTCTGCAAAAAAAGCGAGTTAACAATTTGTAGCATACAAAGAATGTTATAAAAGATTACTATAACCTTTTGCATTTTTAATTTTCTTGGTTCGCTTAATTTTCTTTTTGTATACTTTAATAAGAAACTCCGAATATTTACTGTTTCCAATTTTTTCACGAAAATCATCGAATAACAACTTCTGTTTTTCAACTAATTTTTCCAGATCCATTTTTTTAAATTCTATCTTTGATTGTACACCCATCAGCTTTGAAATTTAGGATGGTGTGGTTGGGACACGTAATAACTATCATTAAGATTTTGATATAAAAATATAAAGGCTGCACTGATATGTGGCGTAAAGACTTTTAAAATCTTTGACGAAAAGTAAGAATTGAATAAGCAGAGTTAATTGAGATTATAAAACTACAACAACTTAAATTATAAATCGCCAGAACGTATCAGTGTTTACAAAAAACAAAAATTTGACCCGAATGTACAAGTCAAAAATTTAATCACCTTTATTGAGTTTTCTTTCTTTGCTTTTTGCTTCTTTTTTAAAATATGATTTAAATGATTTTCATTAGATTCAAAATGTCTCAAAATATCCAATTCTTGCCAGGCCACCAACAATCTGCAGGAAAATGTACACCATTATCATAAAGTATGATAGCATCCAGTGTATATATTAATTATTCATGTATAATGGTATCACAACAACAATTGCATTGTGTTGGCTTTTCATTTAAATTAGAAATAATCTTGCGTTTATTGGTAAGAGAAAAAAATATTCATTTAAAGTTGTACAGGAAATAAATTTCAGTTTCAATTTGAACAAGTGGGGAACCATGAAAAGTTGAAATGGGAATGTAAAAATTTAAATTCATTCGCTCATATGCACCGTACACTAGCAACCAGTCGAACATCACTAAAAACTCCAATTCTATTTTAAAACCATATTACGTAATAGCTGACGTCATTTTATCGTTATTGTGGTGTTCATGGTTTTACCATGTTATGTTACTCGTAAACCGTTATCCCAAAAGTAATTCATCACATATATAACGAAATTACTCTACTATGTCAACCAAGTTTTGAAGTGATGTCAACAATATTTATAATTTAATTATACGAACAACTAAAAAATAAATGAAACCTCAAATCTGCATTTTTCATTTCAATGTCTTCCCCGAACTTCTCATCTCTTAAAATCATCAGTTGTAAATTGAAATCCATCTTGAAATTTTTAATCTGACGAAGTATTACATTTCTTCTATAAGCCAATCTATAATTTTAAAAAAATATTTCGTTCATCTCTTCTTCATCTTTCGTTCATAAAACTTTTAAAATTTTTTGAATACTCATTTAAAATATCAATATTTTGTGCTTTCATTAAACTACTAGTGGCTTAATAATGTTGACAAACCATTGTAAACAGATTAACACTTAAAACAATGTGCAACCTAACTTTTGGTACTATATAAATTGTTGCAGCAAAATAAAATTGTTAGAGGACTAATTTGTTCGTTTAATATCTAGAAAGAGTGACTTGAATTGGGTTTATTGATATTATCTAGAAGCAATAAATATGAACAATAAATATGGATTTAATTGACAACTTGATAAAAATTGATAAAAAGTGATAAAAAAATTGATTGATAATAAATTGATAAAAAGGTTGATTGATTGATTGATTGACTGATTGATTAATTGATAACTTCATCACGTTGTGAATTGTAACTGCAAACTGCTTAAGCCAAGCCAACTGAATATTAATTCATGATAGTCAAACTGCGGAACCAATGAAAGTTTATATTTATAACATTCCTCGTTCATTAGTAGTTGGCTGATTTGATGGGAAATAAAACATTTGAATTTACAACTTTTATAAATATATGAAATGAACCCACTTCATATTGTTAGCATTGTTCATGACATCTTCATAAACAGTGATCTTATTTTTGTTGGTAGCAGCATCATCTTCACGCACAACTTCCTCATTAATCGAGATGTCCTTATCACCACTAACCTCAGTTTTGACATCATTCTTGCTGCTACTGGTGGTGTTGTTGAAAGTCATTTGTGGAATACCAATGGAGAATGAGGTTTGATCAGGGGCGGGAATGTTACGCGCCACGTCCAACTCACTTTCATATTCACTACAAAAAATTTTGCAAAAAATAATTGTGCCCACAACCGTGTTCGATCATCAAATCAATTTATATCATATAATACAATAAAAATAAAAAAGACATTTGTCATAAAAGTTTCTTGTTACAAAAGCCTATGATATTTACAAACAGTACAAACTTTTTGAAACATTCACAGGCTTCCAGTTCTGGAATAACCATTTCTTCATCCATAGTTTGGCGATCAATTTTAAAGTTAAATTTAGACAAAGTTTTGTCAATATTCTTGATTTCTTCAACAGAGTTTTTAATCTTTTCAATGATGCATATTTTTGCTTCCAGCAGCATCAACAATTTGCTGTTGAAACTTTGTTTCCGCTCAAAAATCTTCAAAGGAATTCAATCAGAGATTGAAAAATACATCAAACATCACCACATTGAATTGACATTCAATCCATTTCACTTCTTCAATATTTTCAAATTCCCTTCATTCTCACGCCCATAATCTTTTTTTAATGTTATGTTATTAAAAAAAAAACAACCATCTCCTCAATGAGCACGATCTTCTCCATGACCGTTCTCACGTTGACATTGAGATGATCAGGGACCACGTAGCCAGGACTGCTCTTCAATTTAAAATCTCCTATCAGGTTTCTTGCTTCAATGATTTCGTCATCGGCCTCGATGCTGTTGCTGTTATCGTCAAAGTGAGGCTTTTCGTCATAAAGATTCTGCCACTATTTAATTAATTAATCTTTGATAATAACTAGCGATTATTTGCTTGAACAAATTGATAAGAATTTGATAATCTATAACAAAAAACATTATATTTCAAATACAGTAATGCACTTCGTGTTGAAAAATTAACATCATTTCTATGATAACAGTACTCAATACAGCAGAACAATTTGTACATGGAGTGACGATTCAAACCTCCTGCAGTCTTTTATCTTTTTTCCTTTGAAGTTCATTTGATTTGTTGATTGCTCTGGACACTCTCATTGCTGTTGCCTCCGTGATGCAAGATCTCAAGGCAGTGTGCAGGCGAGGTGACGATGCTGAACGGTCGTCATCTTTCTTAATTTTATCTGGAAGTAGAAACGTTAGGAAGTGATATCGATTAATATTCATGAACACAGAATAGAAAATTTGTTACTTTAATTAAATTAATTCACTCAATAAGTAAAATGACAGCAATACCTAAAACAACTTAAACAGACCAACCTTTATCATTGACATTCTGCTGATCATTTGCATTCTCAACATCGGTCAATCCACTTTCTTGCTTTTGTTTCATCACATAGAGATCATTTTTCATTTGCACAAACTTCTCAGACAACTTGCTTGTCCTAAATGAATGCACTTGGTAATGCTTGTTGAAATCTTTTAGAGTAATCAGTTCACAGGCAACCATGCTTTTGTATCTGCAATTTAGAAAACACTCTGTAGATAAGATTTTAGAAGCTCTTGCTTTCGTAAATTAGAAACAACTCAAATATATCTTTAGATGAATCATTAATCAATAAATAAAAAATAGGCTAAAAGTTGTGTTGAAGTAAGTTAAGAACAAATAATAAGTAATTCGTGTAAACTAGGGATTGTTTAGGAAAAAATTAAAATAATTAATTTTCTAGCACCAACTCATTAAAAACTTTATCAAATTGTTTGTCACATTTGACTGAGTTTCCTCTCATCTCCCGGTTCAAATTCATAATTTTCATAATTTTTTGTTTCGTTAGTTCACTTTTCAAAGACATATCCATCACAAACTCCTTAAGAATAAACAAAAATTATTGGAAAAATAAAGTAATCATTTTGCATCATTCAAACTCTTACCAGAAAATTTTTAACTAGAAATAAAATTAATAACAAATTGAAGCGCTTATGAGCAGTTATTATTTTTGGTGATGTCATCAAAATTTAACAAGTTCAGAGATAGTTAACTGCAAGCTGACCTTTTCGTGGAGCTTCAAAAACTTGGGCAGCATGTTATTGGCCTGCCACAACTCTACAAATTCATCAGTTAGTTTTTTAATTCGCTTTCTGACATTGAACTTTTTTAGTTCAGATGATCGAATCATTTCATCATATTCCAACTTTTTGCAAGCTTCTTCGATGCTGTTTGTAATTAACATCTAACATTTAAATTAGATTGACCAACCCTAAATGATTGTCATTTGTTTTCATGGCAGAAACAAAAAAGCTATTAAGCTGCTAACCTGAAAGCTTTTGAGTCTTTAATATCTTCAGTTGTTACTTGCGCTTGCAAACTACTCATCTGTTGAAGTTTCAAAAAAATAAAACTAGTAAAAGTACTACAATTATTTATTCCTTAATATATGAAAAAAATTATAAGAGAGATTATTTTAACCTCTCTCAACTTGGCATTTGTTCTCTTTGCCGCATCGACGTCCTCATCTAAATACATTTCGAGATTTATCTTAAACATGAACAGATTTCCGTCAGTTCCAGCTGTGAAGAGGTACTTTCCATCATAACTCATTGACACCCCTGTCACTCTGCCATAGTTTCCATCGTGAATGTTCAGTGCCCAGTAAGATGAGTTGGTGTTTGACAATGGGCCAAAGTTCTGCTTGTCATAAAACATCAACCAGCCATTGTTGAATCCAAGTATGAGGTACTGTTCTGTGCTGTAAAATTCATTGTTTAAAGGTCAATTAATTGTCCGTTTTATTTTATTGAAATGTTTTAAGATTAACTGAAATATATGTAAAATTTTATAAAGTGAAATCTTATATGTACGTAAATTTTATATCAATGCAGCATTCCCAGCAATTATGACATTTAAAATGCATTAAACTGAACTAACAAATAGCACGATGAGGTGATGTGAGCATTCTTAAGAAATGAAGGCAGTTCAATGTATTTCGTATTCCCATATTGTCTCAGACTCTTCCTCCGTTCATTCTCGCGTTTGTCATCACCAGCGTTACTATCATCACCGTTTGGAACATCTGTTACTTGCTGGTCAACAACTGCACTTTTTTCGTTTTCATTAGTATTCCTAGCGGTATCAACAACATCTCTTCCGTTATCAATGTTTTCAGCAGCAGCAGCTTCAGATTTAATATTCGTTGGTTTATTTGCTTCGTCCTCGCATTTCCAAACATCGCCATTCTCACCGCTGGCGTCGTTACTCTTTTCATTTTTCACCTCGTCGCTTGATATGTCCTCGCTGCTGATGTTCTCATTTTTGACACCATCTATGCTTGTGAACTGCTCATCATCAAACTCCACCTGATACAGGAATCCAGCATCATAATCTGCCTATCCAGAGAATTAAAATTTAATTTTAAATAATTATGAACGCATATGTGAGATATTTTTAATCAATTAGTAACATCTGAAGGTTAACATATTTCATTTAGAGATTCTGAAGTTTTTGGCTTAGGTGGCTGTGCTCGATGAGCTTTATACTAACTCCTCACAGTCAACCTGCACCTTATTTTCTTTATTGAGGTCAAATAAATTATTTCGTTTCGTTTCGTTCGTTTCTCCCCTTTATACATTAGTTTGTGATATGATGAAGTTTATGATTCAATAACCTGAAATCATATCATAATCTGAAATATTATTGAAATCATAGAAGAAAATCTCAGGTGCCAGTTTGAGAAAGTTTCATATTTTGTAGATCTTTTCTTTGAATTGATGGAAACTCGTTCATTTAACCAAATATTCACAATTGTTTCAGACTAATCATTTGCACACACCAGTATGTACAAGTGATGATTACATAATATTCATAATAACTAACAATTCAATTCAGTAAAATTATTTTTAATAAACAGATCAAGGATAATAAACTGATTTTAAATATTTCAATTTAAATTCTGATCAAACAATTACATATTAACACCGGCAAAACTAAAGAATAACAACGTTGTCCAAACTTTTTAACTCTCGTAAAATGGATGATGGTGATGTTATAAAGCACGCAAGAAACATCGTAAAACACGAGAAAATTGAAGTAGTTATCTTTTATCATTTGCATAAAACCACAAAGTTTGTATTTAAAAACCTGTACACAATGAAACACACCAATCAAGACATTGCACAGCATACCAAAGATATCCAGACAGAGTTGGTCCCTACACACACAACAGGAAGTCCCCACATAACAGGTGATGGTTTGTTAGAGGTGGTAGCTTTCCAGGGTTCTGACTCAATTGAAGACTCTGCCAGTGGTGAATTATTTCATTTATATGTAACATGTGAATGATTTTGACTGACAACTGGACTAATACTAATCGGTTTTATATAGCACCAATAACAACAATGTTTACAATGTTTATTAAATAGAGGAAGAGAAAATTAAAAAGCGCAAATAACAAATTAAAATGAATTTAAATCCTGTATACAATCACTCAACGGTTAACCTCTTTTTAATGCATTCTTTTTCATTCCTTCAAGCTCCTTTTCCCTCTGGTAGAAAAAATCGTGTGAAAAAAGTCACTGGGATTTTTTCAAAAATCAAAGTATTCAAAAAATTACAAAAATCAAAGTATACAAAGAATTAAAGAATAAGTTGGAAGGATTTTTGTTTTAAGATGTTTCATCCTCTCCAGCTGAAACTTGAATCCTAAAAAATGAACATTCAGGAAAAGTGGAAATAAAACAAAAATGCAACAAAAGACATCAAAACATTTACATCCCTGAAAAGAAAACCATCCCGATTATTAACGTAAACAATTTTTACTACTGATTTAAAAATTATATCAAAAATCTTCAACAGTCACAATGCAATAAAATTAATAAAACTAAAACAGCCTTAATGAGGTAGCAAAAAGAGGTTGCAAATTTTAATTTATGACCACCCAACAATCCTGACCTCAATGTATGATTTAATACTTTTGAATGAATGTCTCCGTAATTTCAACTTGTCCAGCATGTAAGTATGTTTGTTGTTGATATCCAAGTGGCTGGGTGATTCAACTTCCATCACTTCTCCGCCCGCACAGCAAACAAGCAGGCTTTCTCTTCTCTGGTGTTACACATATATCACAAAGTGACAACTTCAAAAACTGATGTCATTTCAGTCAGCTCAATGGGAAATTAATACTATTAGCAGTGTCTTTTTCATTTGCAATCATGCGAATTTGAACATTACAATAATATGAATCATCATTACACTTTCTTCCAATGTAGTTATTGTAACAGTGTTAACATTAAGTTTTAATATTAAAATGTTAATTCCACTGATATGTTCTTATTGTTATATGTCAGAACACAGGCACTGCAATAACCGTCATCTTCATTGTAATCAACAACGGTTCTCACCTAGTAACATTTTTCTACCATTCTTATCTTGCTATACTTTTTCAATATATGGTGAATATATGGCATTTAGCTAATCTCGAAAGTTCTAACTTTCAAATTCTATGCTTCGTACATATCGCTTGCAAATAAAAAACTCAGCAAAATAACAACCTGGTTAGAGGACCACTTGGCATAAGTAACTCTGGAAGGAGTTGTGATGAAGCCGAGCGGTTCCAAGATGTTGACATCCTTGTTATTTGTTGAACATTCAACAGAAGCACCACTGACGCTATCGTCAGCAGACATCCGGTTGATCTTCAGGAAGAATACTGTGCCATCATATGACTGGCGGTTGCGTTGGTTCACAATAAGGAAATGTAAGCAATATTGACAAAGTAAAATTTCTAAATTTAAACCCTGATGATAAAAATTAAACTTTCTAACTAACAATGCCTATTAATGTTTATTGATCAACTGAAACGTGACACATATTCATTGTTCAATTCAAACATGACATAAGATACATGCAAGATATTAGTGATGTGGTGCACTTCATAATTAACTGACCCCTGTTGCTAAGAGCTGTGAACCAGGCAGAACATCCATTGTGCTAACACGATGTTTGTGAGGTTTCAACACTTGCACAAGTAATAAATCCATTGGCAAGTTGGAGTCATGCGTAGAGGAATCGCGTTTGATGTCATTGTTTTTGTTGTTTGAAATGTCAGACTTCAAAGTTAATTGGAGTACTCTTACGACTCCATCTTCAAAACCAGCCACAATTGTGTTACCCCATGCGTCAACCTGCATTTGTTTTCATATGTTTCTAATTGGTTTTATTATATTTCTGAATTAATAAATTTATAAAATTTGATTGACTGTATAAAGAGCAATCATCTAATGTGTATGTTCAATAAAATACCATTGAAAAATGTAGCCATCCGATACTCATTTTAAATAGCAAGAGAAGCTTGAGATTGAGAAACTAACAGGATAGCTCAAAATAAAAATTACAAAATAATAACTGTAACATAAAATTATGAACAACCTAACAACAAAATTATAGAAATAATAATCTGAATAAAAAAAAACTTAAACATGACAACTTGAAAAAGAAAATAACATTTAAACTATCATGAACAATATCGAGAAACCTCGGTTGGCAACCAGAGTATCATCATACCAGGTGAGCTGAACTTGTGGCATGCCACCATACTACAACTGTTGTAATCATATACTCTTACTGTGCCTGGGGTTCGTTATGTGGTGTAGTATAATGTGGTGTGTGTTGTAGTAAGGTGGACGACATGTATGAAATAACTACATTTTGATACGTATATTAAGTCAATACTTATATAGCTTCAAGTAATTCATCCATCGAATGACCATACAAACAAGCCACCTATTCGATATTCACAAAGAGTAAATCACTCATGTATATGTGTACGTATAGCTACATACAGACATTCACATGTATACAAGTATAATGCGTTTCTCATTAAATGTATGCAACCTTGAGTCACAAAACATGATACACTTAAAAAGGAAGCATTGCAACCAACAGTCAATTCCGATGGAGGCAATGAAGGAAAGCAGAGGTGATGCACAGATTGAAGATATCGGTCCGGAATGTGATCTAAATAAACATTCAGGCGTGGATGATGATAGCAATGAAGTTGCAGGAGATGGTAACGACTCAGTTGGCGGTTGGAGTGAATGTGTTGGATCAGACATGGAGAGGTTAATTCTCCACATTGCACCTGCACCGTCCTTCAGTTGCATTTACATTTCAAAGAAGTTTGATATAATTTTTTGATAAGTATACAGCACAATTATTCAAACACTGGCATATATTTAACAATATTCAATATTACAATATTCAGCAATATTCAACAAAACATGACCATTCAGGCCAAATACCATTTACACTGTTCCTTAACGTAATTCAGTGTAGAATGTAGCATCAACTTACTTGTGCATACCACATATTGAGGTATTTCAAATCATCACCAGTGTCTCCATTTATGGTTATTTTGTCACCCATATCACTAGGGATTTGATGATTTTTAACAATCTTGTTCCCCTTTAAATTACTACCACTTTCGATGCGTACATCAACATTGTCGATGACTTTCTTGTCAATCGTGAGTTTGGATATGCATTTTAAATGAGCTCCAGGAATGTGGAGTTCATATATCGGCTCAACTTCTACAGCTTCTGATTCTCCACTGATGTCCGAATTGTCCAGCTGTCCAAAGTCCCAACCCTGTACAACAGTTGGTTTGTCATTGATTTTATTGTCACAGATGTTGTGCTAATGTTGCAAAGCTTTGATTGGCTGATTTTCAATGTAACGAAATCATAAAATAATATACCGATCGATTAATTTCATATCAATCTCATCATTCATATTGCCTCAAAATGCAACGATTTAATTTATATTTTTATTTCTGGTGGCTACACCTGACAGATGACTTCCAAATGTCTTCTTTTCAAACCTTTAACTCATATCTAATTAGTTTAACCATTATGTAACCATCAAAATGACAACCATTTAAAACCAAGGTCATAAAAAGTTTGAAGATAAAACAAATATCCAGATTAATTTATTTTGTTCTAATCCGTGGAAATCTAATGTTATAAATGTAAAATGGTTCTGACAGATACAAATACTAAAATTATGAACTTCAGTTAAATAAGCAGTGAGCAATGAGCATACCCTGATGAATCCATCCAATCCAACGGTGATCACAACTCCATTCATCAGAATGATTTGCTGGATTGAACCTCTGTGACATGGCATCTTGTTCTTGCCACATATCTCCACTTTGATCAGACCTCCATCCCATAACAACAAGTTGCCCCACTCACAACCTGTTCATTACACATCCAACAATGCTGTCATACCATTCAGCGGTCATTGTGATGGACAGTGTTGCTTAATTACTGGTTTGCATAGGTAATTTTTTAAACGTTTTTTTATAAGTATATCATAATGATCGTAAATTTTAAAAATAATTGATTACTTTTTCATTGATTCATTGATTGATTCAGATAGGATCAAAAAATTATTGGTCTGGTACTTTATGCCTTTTGATCTTGCAATCATAGTAAGTTTTTTATCAGGTGTAAAATCAACTTAGGCTGTTTTTTATTTAAACCTCAACAAAAAATTTATGAACCAAAATAATCAAGCTGTTCTAGCCCAAAAACAATCGCAATGGCCACCTTCAATCTCAAATACATTAGATGCTGTGTGCCCATTTTGGGTTTAATTTCTAACAGTTGGATGACATAAACAGTTCACCAAAACACTAGTTAATAGTACCAGCCAAAATTTTAATGTCGCCTCTAGCTAGAACTTTTCATTAAAGGTCATATTTATAATATAAAGGAACACAAACAACGGCGAACTAATGAATGATTCCAGTGAAACAAAAAATGACAAAACATCATTTTATGGATCACATTGTTGAAAACAAATTGTTAAGTAAGGTGATAGAAGAAAGTATTAATCGTGAGAGTGCTATTTCTCATAACTTGGTTTGCTTGTTACACTTATTAAAACAATTCAAAACTAACTTGAAAGCACTTTGGAGTCAGGAAACTCTACGAAACCCTCAATATCAGAAATTTCTGTCTTTTGAAACTTTCCAAGATATCCCTGCAGTTTCAAGCCTGTGAATGTTTTGGCCATCTTCCAAAATCTAACAATTGTAAAAAAATTATTATACAGTTGGTGTTTGGCAAAATGCAAGAAAACCAAAAATAAATAGTAGTATGACAGAATTGGTATATCAAAAATGTAAAAATGTTTTGTTCCTTTTTTGAAAGCATAAATCAATTTAAACCCCATTTTCACTAAATAGTAAAAGTTCGGTTTAACTGACAATGAGCTAAACAAAAAGCAGACAATAATTTAAAAAATTACAAAAAAATGTAAAAAAAATTAATAAAAGATAAAATGAAAAAAAAGTGATGTTAACTTGATGTGGCCAGTACCAGCTGTGGTCAGTTGGCCAGGCAACTCCATTGAGAACACCACTTTATAAATATCCTGATTAATTATTATTTTTCTGTTTGAATATTTCATACAGGCAGGGACATACATAGTCATTACACAACATTTACTAATATCAGGATTGGATGATTGGATTATTAATTCTGTAAATAAAAATACTTATACTTCCATAAATATTAATTTTTTTATATGAATGATAAATAATAACTTTAATATTTGTTTCATTATATTAATAGTTTAAGCTTGTTTTATCAAAAAATAAATATTTTCATCCATTGTAACTGTCATTTTCAAATAATATCTCTTGCATATTTTCCATTTCAACTTATATTCATAACTTATTTAATGCCTTTCTAGAATAAGATTAATTAAAAATAACTTAAAATAAAATACAAAAACAAGTTGAATTTAAATATGCTAATAGGCTAAATATGAAAAACAAGGTTATTGAACTTACTTGTGAGTATGCCTTTGATCTGAGTAGGATTATCTCCTTCTCCCAGTCCCAAACAGTCAGTAAGTAGTCTGGATCGCCACCTAGGGAGGCCAACAACAATCCATCTGGGCTTAAATGGTAAAAAATGTTATGATACCAATATTATTGCCATTATCATTTTTATTTTCTTGTCTCTGTACATTATTATTATTAAACATCCACACATCTTAACTTCAATTGTTTCTAACAAATTTACAAATAACAATCTTAACAACACCATTACAATAAAGAATAAACAAAAGAAAACCAACCATGAACTTACCAACCACAATCTTATCAAATAAGCCCAAAAATTAAAAAAATTATTCTATAAAAACAAATACACTCATCTTATTTAAAAAGTCATTTTAGTAAATTTTAATAATGATTTAGTCAAACAAACATGAATGTTCATCGAATTATATTGTTGGAGCTGAGATTAGAAGAAGTAACATGCAACCAGAACAACAATGTTGTTCAATAATTTACATAACAAAGTTGCACTGATGTTGTTGTATTTTAAAATGTAATTAAAAAATCATTTTGTTGAATGAACCAAATGATAAATAAAAATAGCATGCAATGGCAGCACTTGGTACTTCATACCTGAAATCAACATTGCTGTAAACCAACTCAGTACCATTCTTCAGCAGACGATGAAGAACCAATTGTGGCTGTAGTTCATACACCACAATGTTCGGGGCAACGCCTTTTTCTGCAACAGACAAGTATTTCCTGGTTGGATGGACCTGAAAATAAATTAGAAATGCACTTTGATCAATCAATAAACCATGCTTGATACATTTAGTTTTATAAATATACCATGGAAGTTTTTTGTTTCAAATTATATTATATAAATTATAAGTATAAGACTATAAAATAAAAAATTAAAAAAGTTATAAGAGAGACAAGTAACCAACCAATTGCAATAATTGATTCAGCGGATATAGCGTGGATCAATTATTTATTGTTTATTCTTATGCTATGCTTTTCAAATTCGCTTTTCGAATAAATTTTCAATTTTTTATTGGCGACGGAGGTTGGTCGCATTATTTTATTTTTTGCTATTATAATTATTTTAAAATAAATAAATAAATAATTTAAAATTTAAATAATAAAAATAAATGAATAATGAAATGGTAAGTAAAGAGAAAACAAGACAGCCAACAAGAACAAGTTTCTGAAATGAAGGCAAAACTGATGAGACTCAACTCTCGAATAAGAAATTTCGGAACAGCGCAAAATCAGATTTCACGAACACAATTACGCGAAGACGCGCTGCTACAACTTTCAACACGATTGTTTGGCTAAAAGTAAACGGAATAATTAAACTTTTGTAGCGCATTATTACGTATTAACATTGAAATTATGATTCGGAGATGTCAACTACAAACCGCGCGGCGCATATGTTTGCATATGATGGTAAAAAGGGTAACGTTCTAATTTTTTTAATAGCAATGTTACTGCGGTCTCAGTCTCATCACAAAACACATGAAAAACATTACGAAGTAGATGAAGTTTCGTTTGACAGTCCTCAGGTTAGGGCCTAGAAGCAGTGAAAATTATGCAAATCATGATTCATGATTTTGTTTGTGAGATGGGAGCACCACGGGGAGCACTAAAGATTTAAACCTCATCAGCCCTTCAAACTGCTTCCACGTGTTATTCTCCATACTTACGTCAAACTTTCGTGCCACAAAGGCTGTATTGTCTACACTACACGACGTATATGCACATAATGTATACACGCGCAAGCACCGCTTTATACATGAATGGTGCATGATAGCCTTTGAGTTTCGGATAGAAAATTTTCAAACCGGGCCTTCGCGTACTGCACAAGACATGGCACTTCTACCGATTGAGGATTGATCTAACTCGTAAACCAATATTGTCACAATTGCACACACACACACACAAACCACACACACACACACACACACACACACACACATATATATATATATATATATATATATATATATATATATATATGTATATACAGAATAGACTTATAGTAACTAACAGCAAGGGCTTCCACGCCGCCTCTGCTAGTACTTCTTATAAATTTCTGCTCTTTCGTGACCACATTCAGAAGAACGACGTAATTTCCTGCTGTGAATGCAACAACGTGTTCTTCAATACAGTGCAAATTTGATCGCTTCAAACAATCATAACCGAAGGAATGTCTTGAATGAAATGAAAACAATTTAAACAATTTAAAATATATAAATATTTATTTGCAATATTGTGAAATGTAGCTGATAAATTCAATTGGTTTTACAGTACTGTAATCAGTGATGGGTTTTTACCCTTACTAAATAACTTAATATTTGCAATCATGCATATGCAATAAAAAACACAGCAGATTTTTATGATGCTTTTTTAAATAAATAAAATTACTTTAAATCTATTAATTCATTTCCTAGTTTCCAATCTTTAGAAATTATCGGTTTAGTGATTAGTTCGTTATAAATGTAAATATTTGAAGAAGATGAATTATCTAAATCGTTTCTATAATATTCTATCTCATTCTCCATTCTATCTCGCTGGTGCTAGAATGTCAATCATGTTGGCATGACGACCACTTTAACTTCGAACCGGGATGCAACATTGACTTGGCTGGGGCAATAAATATGCAATTTTTTAAATATTTTCAATTAATTCATAAATATTCAATTGCGAAAATGAAAAATTTATTTCACAGATCAACAAAAAATTATAGAAGTATAGCAGTTATGAAAATAAAGTATGCTTCTAGACATTTTAATTTTAGTGAAGGGAGTTATCACTTTTATATTCGTAAGACAATTTATTCCCATTGTACGATTCTTATCATTTTGATCGAATGTTGGGCTATAAAAATGAATGGCTTCATTGATTAATTTAGCTGAAAATTGAAAACTGGCATTTATTGATTAATTTATTGTTTAATTTATTGATAAATTAAATAATTAATTAATTTATATAGTTACAATTCTCTATTCAATGTTTTTCGGAGGCATCGACAACAAACATACAGTGTATAGTCATATAGTTAGAATAACACACGTAAAACAATGCACGTGATAGGCGGAGATCTCTTTGTAATCGTTTCCAGTCACCGCAATAGCAGTTCCAGGCACTCTACACTACACCCCGCCCAACTGGTAACTATAAAGTCGGCAATTTGGCTCATTTGGTAAAAGTGTCAATATGTCTCGCATTGTTATTGCAGCCAGAATGTCAGTGTCAAAGTCGGTTGGAATAGGAGTTCTTGGCTGGAGTGGGAGTTTTTTAAGGGGCCACAGTCGGAATTATTTTTTTTCTGCAATTTTTTAAAAATTGTGTTTTTTAGAAGATAAATATATCTAGTGATAAGTAACCATTTAATACTGAAAATAAATAATAAGGTGAATAAAAATCACATAATTTTTTCAGCATGCTGTAAAACATAAAAAGAAAGTAATTTTACTAAAGTAAACAATTACATTTACTGATTTTAAGTGTTTTTTAAGTATTTTTTTTATTTAGTTGGGATAATAAGATGAAATTATGAAGCAAAAGGCGAAAAGTTTTTTTGGAATTCGGAACCCGGAGTCAGAAATTTTTACCCAGAGTCGGATTTTTTGAAGAGTCGTATATTTTTCATCCGACTCCAACACACTGGGTGCAGCAAATGAAAATCCAGTCTATCCGAAACCCAGACTACCATACATTACGTGTGTATCATGCAGTGCTTGTGCGTGTATGCATTTCTGTGTATGAACGTCGTTTCATATGTAAGTTAATTTAAACTGCGGCACCGAAAAAGCTCTAACTAAAATAACATTATGTATTCTCTATTGAGGAAAACAGAAAACACATTGGTTGTGAGCATCATTGAATTATATATAAGAATGGCTTTATAGTGTTGACCTTCTTCTCAAGGTCAGGAAGCTTGGAAGCAAACTTTTTTAGCACCAAATTGTCAATGGGTTTTTCAGTTTTCCAATCTATATTTAGCTTCTTCCCTGTTCTTGTGCTACCGGCGGCAAATTCTTGTAAACATTTTTTACTGCTGAAATCATTCTATGGCAGTTTTAATCGATTTTTAACTTAATAATTTAACTGAATTTTGATCCATTTTGATTTTATAAATGTCACTTTCTTAAAAATTTTACAAATGTTACATTGTGCCAGGAAAAACTAGACTCATACTAGTAGAAGAGAGGCTTTTTTGTATTTTTATTTTGAATTTTTGACTTTTTATTTTTTACTGTCTAATAAATTAATGTTAAAAAAAACTCAAAAATTTCAATGTCGGTATGTTCGTTCGTGTACTTTAAAAAATCGACGTTTGTACTGGCATCGAAATTTTCTTGTTTTATCAACAACAAATAATTGGTTAATTAATTAGAACTAGATAACAAGCCACATAAATCTTTTTATTTTATTATTATTAATTAAAATAGTAATGTGGAATACCATATTGATGTTACTTTAAATTTTAATATAATCAATATATTTTTTCAATTATAATAAATATTGCTATTGAATCAAATAATTGTATACATTTTTTTGGATATGCTACCTGAAAATTTCTGATCTTTGGAATGAATTGAGCAGACGATAAGCAGTAAGTTAGTTTTTGAATATAATTTCTATCTTTTATTAAATTAAAAATGCCATTAAAGTGTATAGTAAAAAATTGTAATGGGACATATAAAGACCAAAATATATCTAGGCACAGGTAATAATATGATCTTAATAATATTTTTATATCATTTGCATATTTTATGATTCATTGACCTCTCTCCATGGATTAATAGATATAAATTTCAATAATTCATTTTTGACAAAATGCAATATGCATTACAGCATTCCTCAAAAATCACCTATAAAAAGTCAGTGGATCAATGCATTGAATGGCAGGTGTAGAGGTTTTGAAAGAAAAAGATCATATATATGTAGTAAACATTTTGATTCAAAATCCTTTTCAAAGTCAAATAAAGAAGTCAGAAAGATGCCTACCCAACAGTATTTCCTGGTGGGGTATTTGAAAAGACAAAAACCAAGACAACACAAACTGAGGCAATTAATTTAGTATTTATTTATAATAAACAAAGGATTGCTGAAGCAATATTGATTAATTCAAACCAAATATTAATATACAACGCAATAACATTGGCATTTGCCGGCTTACTATCAGATATTTAACAAATAAAACGATAAGGATTTGGTCATTTTCTTATTACATTTTATAAAATGCTAATTTTGATTCTAATGGAAAATATGTTTTTTTTGTATTATGGGTTTATTATTATTATTAGGATGCCTTTGTTAAAATGGCTTTTTGTCATAAGAAATACAGAATATAAAGAGTTTCATTACTTTATTGGGCATATATATATATATATATATATATATATATATATGTATATATATATATATAAACTTTTAAATGCAGCTATTTACTTTCAATTTAAAACCATTTTTAGATGTTTTGCTCAATGGATGCCCATCTCATCAAGCAACAGCAAAGGCAATCAAAGTATTATAAGTCCAGAATCACACTGCTGCAGGCAACAATAAGAAAACTTATGAGTGAATGCAATAAATTAAAAAATGAATTAGCTACATACAAAGGTTTTATGCTATATAACCATAGCAAAATGAATTGAAATTTTGACTAACTTTTTGTTTATTTTTGCTTCTAGATAAAAAACTCATACCATTTAAAAGAGTTAACAAAGTATATGATGATAGTTACAGATTTCTTCATTCATTCTCCCAGCACCCACGAATCACGCTGATGATCATTTACTTCATATCATTTCATTAGAGTAAGAATCATTCCTAAATTAACCTAAAACTTCACGGAATGTTGAAAACGAAATAAATTTTAACTAACGAACTGAATGCAGATCGGCAGAGTCATTAACATGACTTCGGGAAGGCCAAGATTTTTTCTAATTATATCTCAGATTTTGCTAAAAATAAACCAAAATGCTCATGAATAATTAATTTTTAGAAACTTGCTTCCAGAGGTAACTTGCCCGTTGAAAAAAATTTTCAATGTTAAAACGCTGGTAGGGCGCTTCCAGTTATATAATTCCATGGTGAGCATAGATATAAAAGCTATTTATAGTTTTCTATCACTATGATTGTGAACTTAGATGATGTCTGCTGTTTGTTTGATAACTTCCTGTCGTTCATGCCACATTCTGTGTGCAAAGTTCAAAAGCGGAACCTTTTTCTTCAGCAACAAAATCTGAAATGGATAACAAAAATTTTTCTGACATTGATTTATCACGTTTGTTGATCGATCTGGTGTCATTTTTGTTATCACTCTACATAACGAACCAAATTTATTGTTTTATAAGTGCTTTCTAAGGCATGTTTTAATTACATTACATTCTTTCATATTATATTGTACATGTACATACTTCTATTATATTGTTTTTGTACTACATTAACAAAACTTATCAAGGTAAATCAGGCGTTACATAATTTATTCTGTTTATTTTAGGAAGAGAAAGATTTATTAAATCATTCTGTTTCTAAAGTTCGTGGAAGAGAAGTTTTATGTCTTAATTTCGAACAAATGATTTCCGATTAATGTAAGTATGTTCCGTTCGAAAATTTAGTTTTTTATTAAAATTGTAACCTTTTTCGAAATAAAAGTTTGCAAACGTTAAGAAATGTTAGATTTTTTAAGGCGGCTTAGGCTGGGGTGGGGTTTTCCTTTTCCAATGTGTAACTACCATTGAATCATATAAGAAGACAAATTATAAATTGCGCTTTTTTAAAAGTCTAGATAATACTACTTATTTCGTTTTTAAAAAATAATAAATTGTAAAATTAATTTCTAATCAATTTTTTTCTGCTGTCACTAACTGTCTTTTACTAGAGAGTGAACTGAAACTTGCTTGAGATCAGAACTCCCGGCTTTAGAGAGCTTAGTTGTTAAACTAAAAAAGGCTTTTAAAATCTTTACAGATTAATTAATTTTGAGGCATCTCTTAGCTTGCTTAGCATGGAATAAATGCTTCTTTCTTTCTTTTGGTTTTTATTTTATTATTAGAATACTTAAACATAAAAGGTTAATTAAATTAAATTATATTAGTAATTAGTTATAGTATATTTGATTAGTAGTCTAGCTATTAACAATTAGCTTGTTTTGTCTTGAGAATAGCTAGCAAACACTTACAACATAGAATAATTACACTATTAATAAGAGTTAAACTTTAGTTTAGAAAGTAAAATTATATTAAAATTCTATTTCTTTTCACAGCAAATAGAAATATAATATAACATGTTAGTGTTCTAAATAAATATATTAATATAGTATGTGAATGTAATATTTTATTTGGAGAGCTTTATGATGTCTGTGATATTAATATGAATGGAAGTAATGTTGTAAGCTAGTTTACAGTATTACACAAAATGTGGTAGCTTAAATTTTTTTATTTGGAATTTAGTGTAAAAAAATGTTCAGTTATAGTGCTTAGAACACTCTTAAAAATTGGTGCTGGTGCTTATTGCCATAGAGAAGCAGTGCCTAAATGGTTCTTTCTTCATTTGTGCCATCGATTTGAACTTTATTTTTGTGTAAATGATTATTTTACATTATTGACATTATTTTAATTCATTATCTTGTTTGAATTAATTAGCTAATTATCTTCATGGAGTGTGAGATTGCTCTCTGTATCTAGGTGAAACTGGATTATTAAAGATTTAGTGAAATTATTTTATCCATTTTAAATATTTATAAAAAAGATTGCATTCTTCTGATAGTCATTGATATGTAGTATAACACAATTGGAATTTGCCAATAGAATGAATAAGCATTATGCAAACGATTCTAATTGGATTTTTCATTTAGTAAAAATATGTTTTAATAAAAGCAGTTGCTCAAATTTTTCCTTCTAGCTGCATATGTTCACATCAGTATGTTAGTTTATCGGCTGACATCATTTTCATATGAACAACTCAAAATAATCATGATTTAGAATTTTAATTTAGATTATAAAGAAAAAAATTGTGTGGTGATTATGGATGTGAATTTTTTTAAATTATCATGAGCTTATTCGAGTTTATCAAGTATTTCAGCATTTCACTTCCTTCATTTTATCATTGAGTTCTATTGCATTCTATTATAACTATAGTAAGTAGGTTGCAGTGTTATGCACGGCGGGCACCACCATCAGTCGGTGTTAGCAAGCATCACATTTACCATTCAACATTACCATTTGTCCTTTTATAACAGCAATTAGATGTCACAAGTACAAAGAAAAAAGCAATCCAACCAACCTTCACTGGTTTTGAAGGCCTCGGAGAATGCTGTCTTGTTCCAATTGACTGGTCCCAAATGTGTTGTAAGTATTCATGTTTTTGATCGATTGATTTAATTAGTTTAACTTTTAATTTTGTAAGTAAGTCTGTAATTTTTTTGTCTATCAATCATATACAATGATTTTTTACAAATTAATAATTTAATTTGTACATGGGTTTTTCTTTCAAAATAATACTTTATAACAATCAGCTCACTTTTTCAAGTTTACAGATACAAAATACAAATGTTTTGATAGAAATTATTTTATTTAAAACTTTGAAGGCTTCTAGTTCTTAGTTCATTTCTAGGTCTTATTATTTATTTAATAAGTCCATTAGAATGTAGTGGGTTTGTCCTTACTATCAGGATTTGCCCCAAAACTAATTGTAATTTATACACTAGGGGAAGCCCAACTTGAAGTAGCTAAACTTATTCATCATTACTTATACTTATTTATTACTTACTGTTATACTTATACTTACTAAACTTATTTCATCATTTTTATCTCTTCTATTATATTTAAATTTTGGAATCAACATTTTAATAAGAAAAAAATATGTATTTTACCATTTAACAATAGACAGTAATCCCTAGATTTATATTTACACCAATATCGTATATTCATTAAGCAATGACTTTACTAAACAAACCACAAAGAAGTTGGACATTAAGTAGCTATACATACCACTAGTTGCTGAATCATTTAAATTGAAAGCACCACAAACTTCATTCACATTATGATACAATTACACTTATCGCTTGAATTGGAAGGCGCTGGCATCAGCAGTGGTGCAAGTCTACCTGGCCGATCCGCCGTTCACAAAATGGAACAAGAGGTATGTCGGAGTGGCAACATTCATCAAGGATAATGGCAAGAGGTCTTACTACATCAGGGTCTACGATATTGACGTAGGTGTCCCATCATCTTCCTTGCTTACTCTTGCTGCTATTTTCATTATTTTTTATTTAGGATTTAGCATTTTCAACTGTTTATGTTTATTAATATTTAAATTATTTTATTATCATGTTATTTTTATTAATATTTATTTAAATTCCTTTACTATCATTTTTATTGGAACGTTTCTCAGCAGCTATTTCTGTGACTATTGATCACTGCTTAAAAATATCGAACTCTGAAAATTATATCAATATCATTTAGCCACAGTGATTAATTTGAAGTAAAAGCCAGTTGAACTATTAATTTAAATCATTTGTCTTGTTATAAAAAAAAAATCAGTCTCGGTACTTGATATGGGAGCAGGAGCTGTACAATCAGTTTGAATACAAAGTCCTCAGGTCATTCTTCCACTCATTTGATACTGACGTTAGTGAATTACTTCAATTGTTTCATCGTATGTTTATCTCCCATTTTTTTGTGTTCGTATTTTTAAATTTGAAAATTAATTTTCACGCCATCATGAAAAAACTGGATCTGATTTTTGTTAAGAATTGCATCAATTGTTTACGACAATGTAAGTCTGTCTGTTATGGACTTAATTAAAAATAATTATAGACAATTTATTTTTTAGAATTTCAATGTTGAGAAAATAATTTAATGTTAAGCCTAGGTTTCTGAAATTAGCATGTAAGGTAGTGACTGTTGACGTAGCAGTATGTTGCAGTACTTACTGACTTACTGTGGTGATTGTGTAGAAATTAATTGATTGCTCATTTTGGATTTTATCAGAGATTGTATAGTCAGTCACTAAACAGGATTGTCTGTTTGATTTCTAATTGTAATCATTATGCACTAATAATATGAGTTTGATGGTTGATAGCGGTGGTCAGTTGAGTAGAAGAGGTTTATTTCTTTGAAAATAAGAAATGAACAGAATTAATTTTAGCATCCTAACTTGCTGGTCGACATCTTCTACAGGACTGTCCAGCTGGTTTGAATTTCTGCAACGATGAGGAGGCCCGACTCTTCAGTTCTGCTGTCATCGATCACTTGAACAAGAAAGAGAAGAGAAGATCTGGTTTGTTGATGTTTATTTATTATTCACTTATGTGGTTTCTCATTCATTTTGTGGTTTCTTATTCATTGTTGTTCTTTCATATGATGTGTGTGTGTGTGTGTGGATATGCCATCTCTAACTAAATTTATGTGAGTGTAGAGTTTTATGCTTGGAATTATCAGAATTGACATCGTACGAAGTTATTGAGTATATTCTATTATGTTTACTTGATCTGAACTCTAATGTCTTTTGTGATGTTGCACTTGCTAGCGATTAAAGCAGAATCTAGAAAGAATTTCAAAGTTTCATTTTTTAATGATATTTTAATAGTCTAATAATTTAATTTACTGAGCAAACTTTTTTAGAATTTAGATAATTTAATTTTGATAATTTATTTGATAGCTTCAGCGATGTTTCAAAATTTAAAATTCTTGTCATATTCGAATGCTCCAACAAATGATTGCGCTACATTTGTATAATTTGAACATCATAACTGCATTTGCAGAGAGGAACTCATCAATGCTCCTCAACTCACAGACCTCCCTTCAGCACAGTTTGAGTATTTCATCCAAGCCAACTTCAATGCAGCTCAGTTAGTTCCAACATCATTTCTATTTTAAGATTTTTTTTTCAAATTCTTCTAAACTTATTATATCTCTCCTATGGCATTTTGGCATTCAGTTAAATGTGTGATATTTATTATTTTTATTAATTAAGATCAGCCTATGACATCTTTGAGTAATTCATTCAATGACTCAATGAAATCGAAGAAATTGGATACTAAAAAGAAGGATAAGAAGAAGCAGAAACTTGAGAAGAAAGACATTGGAACTCCAAGTGACTTCAGGTTGGCTGCTCTTGTGTTTCTATTTTTTTCTTAAGTGATGTTCATGTCGTGCATTTTCATAGTTATCTTATCATTATTTTTAATAATTTCAACAATTATATGATTTTTAACCCGTTTTGACTTATCATAGATTCCTTATCACCTAATAGTCACATCATTTACAACATTATCTTCTGCAGACACGTGAATCACGTTGGCTGGGACCCTGATAAAGGGTTTGATGTAAGAATTGTTTGTTGTCAACATATTTATCTTATATGATTTGTCATTAAAAAAACTCATAAAATTATCTGCAAATAAAAACTGATTGATATTAATTCCAATTTGCAAAACAACAAACTAACCAACAGATGAACAACCTGGACCCAGCCATGAAGTCACTTTTTGACCAGGTATTACTGGACGAAACTCAGCTGAAAGATAAGGAAACAGCACAGTTTGTCTACAAGTTCTTGGAGGATCGTGGTGGTGTAGAAGCAATAAAAAAGGAGAGACCCAGGCCCCTGCCTCCTCCTGTCATCAGCCAACCCATGCCACCACCATCAGCTGGTCGGACGGGAGGTAAAAATTCTGTCGTGTGATGTATGTGTGATGTGTTTTTAGTGACTCCATTATATTTTTGCACTTCTCTCAAAGGGGTTTTGCAATTTTGCTCATAATTCATAGCTTCAAATGTAAAATCAGTTTTTTTTATACAAGCTAAATGCGTCGTTGCAGGAATGAGTTGTTAGTGAAGTTGGGCTATTGTGAGTTAAGTTGTGGTTGTCATTGTGTACTTGAGGCAACCCCCGATCTCGGGGAAAATGCCGTCCTGACGTGTGTTGTGTTGTTGTTGTTGTGTGAATGCTTCTGCTAATTTGATATGTTGTTATTGGATGTACGAAAGATGTTAGGAGGGGGAAGTTAATTTGGTGTAAATTTTATTTCTTCCTATTACATTCATTCAGTCACATTTTGTTTATTTTCTTTGGCATGCTCGAAATGTTTTGGAATGATTTTCGTATGTGCCCTCCATGATCAACACTCATTGAGATCAAATATTTTTATTTTATAAGGCTCTAGATCAGCGGCGCCACCACCGCCTCCACCGCCGATTTCAAAGCCAGGTCCTCCTCCTCCTCCACCGCCAGTTCGTCTTGCTTCAGGTCCACCACAACCAAGCCCCCCGCCACCCCCTCCAACACCATCCAGACAAGGTCCACCACCTGTTCCGCCATCTCATTTTCCTCCACCAGTGAGTGGAGGCAACATTCCTGGTGGAGTTCCTCCTCCCCCTCCTCCACCACCTCCACCTCCTGGACCCCCACCACCTCCATCATCTCATAACGCAGGTTCTGGAAGGGCGGGCTTGTTGGATAAGATACAGGAAGGTGTCTCATTGAACCACGTGGAATCGAATGCTTCGAGTGAATCTGAAGGTGGAAGAAATGCTTTGTTGGCCCACATAAGAGAAGGCGTTTCACTAAAATCGGTCGGTGCTTACTTTGATGTTTATGTTTGTAGTTGTTTGTTGTAGATGTTGATGTTTGTAGTTCTTTGTTGTAGATGTTGATGTTTTTAGTTGTTTGTTGTAGATGTCGATGTTATGTTATCGGTGTTTTCGTTGTTTATTGATGTTGTTGATGTTCGTTTATATGCGTTGATATTGTTATATGCACATGTAGTTTAGTTTTATTTTTGTCAACGTTAATTTAATCAAATTTTTTCTGGTCATTTATTTTATCAAAATGCATTTTAAGTTTTGTTTTACTGCAGAGGAATAATTCTCAAATGTATTTTCATATTATGTTTTTTCATGTGTAGAATGCTCGTCAGTGTTATTGATTGGATCGTTAATGATTTAAATTGAATTTTATTGAACCACTAAAAACTTACACCAACTCCTGTCTTAAACTTCTTTACATTAATTTTTTATCATCCACAACAGGTGACAGTAAATGAACAGGCCAAACCTGACGTTGAATCGGATGAAGGGATTGCTGGAGCACTTGCCAAAGCCTTGCGAATGCGTGCCAAGGCTCTGGGCGCAGGTTATTTTACAATTTCATCTCTTGATATTTCGTTTTTTTTTCTCAGATTTTTTATTAATATGATAAAATTGACATGAATGTTCCAAAAAATCAAGCACCCCCAAATTACTATAAACTCTATGTACTCTGTTGGTCAGACTAACTTCCGACTAGTCTCACTCCTGTCTGTTTCCTCCAGTATCTAACAACGTTTTCCTATTTTTCTTAAGTTGAAAGCACTTTTAAGGATGTTGCATTTCTGTAAATTTTTTCAACACCGTTGGTCCTACTAAAATAAGACCTCTTGTCACTACATGAAACATAGTTCATTTCCAAAGTGGTTCTGGAATATTATACATACGTATATATGATACGTCGATTTCTGCCTCATACTTTTATGTGTTTATACAAAACTAAAATTATTTTTAAAGTGAACTGATAAATAATTAGTCTTATTATTTTTTCTTAGAAAAAAACGATGATGGAGATGACGACGACGAAGATGATGATGAGTGGGATGACTGAGTGGATGATGCCCTCCACAAGTTCTGTTGCACTTGATTATGTCTACAGGCTTTCTTCCTCCTTGTTTCAAATGATTTTAATCTCTTCCGTTTTTATCATATTGCATTCAAGTAACTAGAATTAGTTAATTAATGGCCTTTGTAACACTTCCCGATAAACCTATCACTATGCTTTTTGAAAATTTAAATTATTTTTTGTCCTTATAATTTTTTTCAATTTTAATGGTTGTTTGTTTTTTATTTTATAAATTTTATTTTGTCCCTTTACATTTTTTGAATCAATTCCTTTGGACGATTAAATGAAATTTTTTTTCATCAGCTAATTTCGTAAATATTCAACAAAAGTGATTGAAGTAACGTGAAAATAATTAATTAGCAACAATTTTAAGCGCGGAAATCAAAAGAACACATTACGTTAGTTGAAAGAGAACACATTTGGTTAATCATCACGTTATATTTTAAAGATTAATTACACGGAAGCTGTCAATTCTAAGTTGAAAAGAGACAATAAGTCTATTGCGATCATAGCATTATGATTTGTTTGGACGTAATATTATAACAAATAACGAATCGTTTTTGTAGGTGAATGATTTTATAAATAGTGTCACGGTGTGGGGCATGTACAAAAGCAACAATTGAATGAATTGAAATATGTGGTGGCGTCGACTCAATACACTCTCTTTGAATGAACGCTGGGAGCTTGCGAAGGAAGTGTGGCGTTGGGATTGTGTGCGGATCCTCCCATCACGGATTGCGGCTTTGATGTAAAACCGCTTGTGGCTGGAAATAATGTTTGTGGTCATTTACTATTAGCGTTTGTTTAGCAAATTATTCCGCGTTACTTTTAAATCTTTGCTAAGGTGCGCACTTTGAAATACTAAATGCGGAAAAACCTTAGGTAAATTTAGATTCGAATGAAATAAGATTCTTTGAATGCTAACTGGCTAGAGATGGGTCTCTAAACACACGCCTTTTATATTAACGCTTAATAAAACAAAGCTTGCACCGCTTTGTAAGTGACGAAATGAAGTTGGGCGCTGATGAAAAGTTTTAAAAATGAAATTATCTTTAACGAAACGAACACTAACATTTTGTTTCGAAGTCCCTCAGACGATTGTTTGTTCTGAACGCCAAGAGGAGGGCCAGTATAGTGATCATGAATATGCAGCACATGGCGATGATGGAGAGCATGTAGGCCCACCTAAACGTACATTCCCCAATGTAGAATCTGGTGGCACTTTCTCCACACAAACGTTTAACTTGTATGTGGTCCCATCCGTGTGGGTAAATAACGTTTCCGAGAAACATGAAAAGGGCTGTTTGCATTTCATTCAAGTTTTAATTTTTTCTTTTTTTGAAATTATTTCATGTTAGTTATGAGTGAGGGTTGAAATGTTTTACGAGAATCAGTTTTGGCTTGCGCGATGGTTTTTAAATTAGAATTTAAAATTCATGTGATTAAAATTTTAAACTTGGACAAAATGTTGTTTTTATATAAACTTAATAAAATATTTTAAGTTAAAAAATGCAAATTTATGTTTAACAACATATAGAAGTTAGCATTTATTTTTCCACAACACAAAGATCCTTACTTGATACTCCTTGTAAGATGCCACAGACAAGGTAGGCATACTTGAAGGCGGCTTTGAAAAAGAACAAAATGAACAAGAAAATGACGAGGAAGATAATTAAGATGGAAACTCCGATGAAGAATGTAGAAGCCCTGAAAGCAGGAGTCAATATAGTGGTGAAGTCCTGTAAGATTGTAATGAATGTCATGTCGTGTACCTTGTATATGGTAGATGGACCAATATGAATAAATATTTTAATTTGTATATAATGTTTAATAATAATAATTATAACATGCGTTCCCTTCTATTCCATTTCCATTCAATTTTCGTAAACGCTACATAATATTGAAAATATTGAGATAATATATAAAGTATATAAAATATTGAGATTACGTTAAGAATCTTATGGTTAAATGAACTGAACGATTGATAAGATGATTGTTTATCTTTTTTAATGTTTACACGGTATGGTTTTACCATATACATATATATATATATATATATATATATATATATATATATATATATATATATAAACCGCCAAAAGTTTGTCTGAATGATGTTTATAAAAAACAAATCATCTTACTATTTTCAGGTGAAACAAATATTTTTAAAATTTTTAGATATGCATTTTTAGAAACATTCACAAATTTTTGTTTTCAGTTTTGAAATTCACAGAAATTTTTTTGCTAACCTGAAATTGACCTCTGCAAATTTCATTCTGTCCTGAGTTATAGAGCTCGCAGTATTCGTACAATCCCATCCAACCAACACCAGGACTGGTTTCCGAGTCTCCGATCCATTGGGGTTCGGTGAAAACGATGATGTTCATGATGAGGAAACAGAGGGTCAAACATCCCCAGCAGATGCCCACTCCCTTTGAGTGACCCGAGTATTTCTTGTAGTAGACGTGCGTCTTCATTTCCGTCTGTGGCTCCAACATTTTAGCGTTTCCGAGGCAGACTGCAAAAATTAAAGTGTAGACGAAAATGCTTTTTACACGATTTTTCGTTAACCTTTAATTTATAAACCTGCAGCTTTTGAAAATTCTATCAAAAATGTGTTGCAATTTGATAATATATTTTAATAAAATTACCTTAACTATTACAAAATTTAAATGTAATCCTTCATACACACAGATCCGTAATGAAAATTAGCTGACGTATTTATGAAAGTTTTTGTTCAGTGAATAATTTAAAATTTCTTGCTTGATATTTTCTACACAACAAAATATTACTCAATCCACAACCATTCATTGCTCGCACATTCAACATTCACGCTCTACTGGTTAGTCTTAATGTAAATGCATGTTATTGTTTAGTTTAGAGATAGATGATGCACTGTACTGTGCAGTGCACACACTACACAGGTAAGAATGCTCTTTAATTGTAAGGACTGTTCACGCTTGTCTCTATGCATATAAGTACTTTATATATGTATATTATATTGTATATATATATATATTTATATATACATATAAATTTATGTATTATGTGCATCTATATTATATGTACGGTTTCAATTCAGAAGCGTAAAATAAGTTTAAAATTTTAAGTGAACTGAAAAATGTCAAGAATGATGTAGGTAGGCGAGATTAAATATAGTTTTCGTTATTCGTACAAGAAATATTTCGGTTTTACTAACTTTTTTCAAGTGAAAAAAGCCATTTTAAAATTAGGAGATAAATTTTAAGAAAATAATTTGGATCAACTTTTAGGGGATGATAATTTTAAAATTTTCATCATATGAATATTTATCAGATATATTAATTGAACTTAAACGCTCCAGTTTACGATTGTCTTCTTGTTCTCACTTCTTTTTAACTCGTGTTTTAACTCTTTTTAACACTCTTTTGCTAAATCTGCATTTGCTTTTTCTGGCCCTATTCTCTGGAACTCTCTAACTCCTTCTCTGACTACTTCTTCATCACTTACGAAGTTCAGAGCGGATCTCAAGACCCATCTGTTTGCAAAATACATTGAGGAGCGCTTTATGAACAAATTGATTGATTGATTGATTAAAAATCAAAAACAGTCTATCAAACGACGAATAATAAGAAATGAAATGTATGCATGTATAAGTCTCAATCTAAATTATTTCCTAAGTACTTATCAGATATATTAATTGAACCTAAACGCCCCGGTTTACGATCGTCTTCTTCTTCTCGCTTTTTCTTAACTCGTGTTAAACACTCTTTTGCCAAATCTGCTTTTGCTTTTTCTGGTCCTTTTCTCTGGAACTCTCTACCTACTTCTCTAACTATTTCTCCATCACTTGCGAAGTTCAGAGCGGATCTCAAGACCCATCTGTTTTCAAAATTCATTGAGGAGCGCTGTTGAACATCGCGGAAATAGCGCTTTATAAGCTAATTGATTGATTGATTGATGCAGATAAAGGGTTTTTTAACAAAGTTAAACTGTAAAAAAAAGTAAGAAAAAAAAGAAAAAACATGACACAAATCATTAGACTTAAATTGTTCAACAACACGGGTTCTTTTAAAAGAAATACTTCGATTATTCTTCTGTCATATATATATATATATATATATATAGTATATAGATATAAATATATGTTATATTCTATATTCTGTTCCTTGTGTTTGTCATAACCATGAGTATATAATATAATATTATATCTGTAACAGTGTTGAAGTATCTATGCAGGCGGTGGGCGATATTAGAGAATAATATCGGGTTTTTTGAATTCAAAATGTTCAGACCTTTTGTCTTCTGTTTGCATCTGGCCGTTTTATTTATTTTATACTTAGGCTTCCAAAATGTCTTCCTCGATGTTGAGAAGAATGATTGCCAGATGACATACATGTTTCAAGAGCCCTTGTATATTGTTAGATGACCAAATTATGAATTATTATTTATTTCAATTTTCAATATTTATCTATTTTATATTTTTATATTATTATAAATTATACTTCATGTTAGTTAGTGTTAATGACTCAGTTAGTTGACTCAGTCACTAACTGTTAGTGAGTTAGAATGGTAATAGATAGTCATGTTAATATTATTTTTTTCCTGTTATTTATTTGAGATTTGACTTTGATTTTATCAGATTGATTGACCAGGAAATATTTAATTTTAAATTAATTAATTAAAATTAATTATAGTTATTAACTATTTATTTTATAAAATATAATCATTCAATTGAGAATTGACAGTTAACTATTTTTATTTTAATTATACTTGAATTATTTTAAATTGGTAAATCATAAATCTTTTAAATATCTAACTAATTCTAATAGCTAATACTAATTAATATTATTTGAAAAATAGATAGTTGTATTAGGCTACAAAACAAATTAAAATTAATTAAAACTGTTCAATTTACTGTTAATTAATATTAAATATAAATAACTTGACTTGAAAGGTTAAAAAAAATATTATCAACACATTGTAAATGTTTTAGCTAATTAGCTAATAGCTAATTTAAACTTCATTCTTATTACTGAGCTGTGAAAATATTTTTTATTTATTATTTTACATTTTTAAAATATTCAAAGTTTTATTTATAATCATAATTAATTATCTTAATTATAATCTTAATAATTTTAATTATTTCAGAAAGTGAAGTTAGATGCTTCCTTGAAGTTGAATTACCCCAACTACAATTTGTACTATTATAATGAGGGGTAAATACTACTAGTCTTATGATTTCAAATTGTTTGCTAGTTTCACATAATGATTATTATTCATTGTTATATTTCATTATTTTTGCAATGTTTGGTGTGCAGTAACGATTATTGAAAAATTGCAGTTGAAACTATACCTGCACAATTGTATTTAAATATTTTTTATTTATATTATTATATTATGAAATAGTCACTTTTCACTATTTAGAATTTAAGATTAAGAATGATGTAATTTGTAATCTAAGAATAATTTTTTTATTTTTAATTAATTTGTATGAAGCTTTCATCATACATTAAAAAGAATTAATTAATTAATTTACACGGCATAAAAACTTTGTTCAATATTCAAGGACAAATTTTTGTCACACAAATATAAAATAACGTTAAAACTTTTTTGTTGCATCACACAGATCCAGTCATATTAGTTTGAATGGCGTCCCAGCTCTCTTTATCCCTGGAAATGCTGGAAGCTACAGACAAGGTCAACTACCATTAAATCAGACTATCATTTTATTAATTGGATATCATGTTTTTACAAATGGGATTAAAATTTTGAGCTTTCATTTTGAGTGACAGTCTTTGTGGCGGCGGCCTGATAGTCTAGTGGTTAAGGTTGCCTGGTGCTGTATCGCAGTAACCAGGTTCGAATAGGTCAGAAATATCCCCGCCTATCTTTTGTTTAGTGTGTGATGCATCGTTTAGCATGTATTCACATATGATGCTTGTGGCAATGTTTGTGGCGTGTTGTTGAATCTTCTGAACTTTGGAAGAGTGTAATTGACCTTTAACCTTTTAACCTGTAACTGCAAGCAACCTTATTTGTGGTTTGTTGTTGATATTAAGATAGTATAAGATGACTTAAAAAGGAAAATGTTTTAGTTTTAGTTAGAATGGTATTTTTAGCATTTAATTGTTGAATGAATCTTTTTCCATTTTATGTATTTATTTTTCAAGCTTGGATGAGTTAAGTTTAAAGGTGTGCAGTGAAATGATTTTTTGAAAAATAGTTTCCATTTTTTGATATTTCCATTTTTGGCTAAATTAAAATTTTGATGTGAGGTGGTTTTAAATTTAACTTTACAGTCAGATCGCTGGGATCCGTGGCATTAAGAATGGCAGAAAATATACCAAAGAAAAACAAAATTGATTTTTTTGCCATAGATTTCAATGAGGTTGAATTTAAAATATTAATATTTGTTATTTTGCTCTCTTTTTTATTGAATTAATTTTCTATATTACAAAAGGATGTTACATAAACAAATGAAAATAAGAGAACACTTGAGATGTTAAATTAATTTGTAAATATAATCTAATTTGTTACACAGGAGTTGTCAGGATTTTTTGGAGGTTTCCTTGAGAAGCAAAGTGGTAAATGAACGTTTCATACATTAACTACATTCTTATGAATTTTATCAAGAACCTACACATTTTATTATATTGATCTTAGATTCAATGCAATTTTCACGGTCATGGTGGTTTTTTTTACTTTTTCATGTAATTTATGGGAAAAAGATATTTTTTAATAATTATTTTTTTCATTTAACATTTGATTCTGAATTTTCAGAATTTGCTTTTCTATGTGTGGATCACATTTTGTCTATATACAACAGGACGAAAAACAACAAGCAGTCATCCATGTTTATTGTTGGACATTCTATGGTTGGCTGATTTCTTTTTTATTTTTTGGCTTGTTTTGTTTGTGTGCGTGGTTTTTTTTATTATGTTTTCTGCTGTGTTAAATATTCGAAGTTTTTTGTATATAGTATGTGTAGTCATACACTTTTTAGATTGTGGATTTTTGTATAAAATTACAATTGTCAGGGTGGTTTGGTAGGTAGGGCCCTGTTCAAGTACGGGATCAATGATGACAAAGTTCCAGTCATCATCACCCAGGCTTCACCTCACCAGATGCCCGTCCTGTTGGTTGATGAAGAGATGAAGCGGTTCCATCAGAGTCTGTACTACCCGACGACAACAGAGAACATGCCCAATGTGACGTTGGTGTCAACAGGTGGAGGAAGTAGAGACTTCCTGGTCAGGATGGCAGCTACCAGACCGGTAATGTTGCTATTCATTTCATAATCTGTACGTCATGGGGATCTGGGTGCTTTCAGACTTATTTTGAAATATTTTTTTCTATTTTTAGGGGAAATTATTTGGAAACATCATAAGTACATCAGTGAGTGCTGCTCTCGTTGCCGTTTTTACATTTTCAATTTTCAATTATTTTTCTGGTGTCGGTTTCTTGGAAAGAGAGATTAATGTCAGCTTTAATTAATTTAATGCTAGCTGATTGAATTACGTTTTAAAATTATAACACGCCAAATGACACAATTATTCGTAACTACTCCTCCCAGACAGTCTCCATGCCAAAAGCCTGGGTTTCAACTGATCATCTATGTCATGTTTGGTGAGTTTTGTGCCTTCCCATGCTCCCACGCTATTTTCATTTGTATATCAATTATTTTATCCAACAAATATATCAGAAGTTATTGTAAATATTCAGAATGTTATTTTTCTTCATAATTTTGGTTAGTTGATTTTGTTTATTTTAAAATCTATGCTTACATGTAAAATAGTAAAGTTGAGAATTCAGCTGTTGTCGGCTCTAAGCTGTTATTAAAGTGTGAGCGAACAACGTAAGCCACGTCTGAACATAGTTGAAGCATTACAAGTTAAGGCATATCAGAAGATGGTGATTACACTTTCTGATCTATATTTTTCATTTTCATGATCATGAATGGGTATTAGTCTCTAAGTAAGTTCGTGCAGTTTGGTTGGGAATGTTTAAATGAATGGCAGTTTTTAGTTGACGTTAGTTTAGAGTCATATACACATTTACAATTATTGAACTGTTACAGATAATTATTCATAGAGAACAACTCGCTGATGACATTTAACAAAATATATCAGGTGCAAGCAGGTTGTCATGGCAACGGTGAGGGCCATGTATGACTGCGTTGACGAGAGTACAAAACAGGTGATAGTTGACTTGATTGTGATAATGATGATGGCGTTGGTGATTGATGATGATGATGATCGTGATGATGATATGATTACGATAGTGACAATGATGTGTTAATGATGATGATGTTGAGGATTATGAACATGATAATGGAAAAAAATTGAAAATTTATTATCTTAATGTCTTATCTTATGGCCATTCTTTGTCATTCTGATTATGAACGAGAGAGCAATAAATAATTCATTCATTTATTCAGATAACTAAGAGTCCACCCTTGAGACACGAGGTTCTGAAGTACCACTTTGTAGAGAACAGAGGACCGAAGCATTATACCACTTCCTTTCCATCTAACTTCAAATTGAATAAGTTATCAATTGAGTGGAAGGAAGTTAACATGCCATGGAAGTTTTATGGATCAGTGGTCTGTCTGTGTTGTGTGTGTGTGTGTGTTTGTTAATTCCATTTAATGTGACAATGTCAAAAACAACTGTAATCTGACTTTATAATATACCACTCTTTGCTCATGCAAGCTCTAATTCAAGTTCTGTTTAGCACGCCATAATTTTCGTATTTTACAGTTCTGTTCTGATGCAAGCTAAGTTATCTCTGTTTCATTGTTGAAACACTACATGTTGTGTTTATTTGATGGTCTTTGAATAAATATGCCATCGACCATCACATGGCTTAGTTAAAAGTTTAATACGCTTCTACTTCCATTGGTATTACTGTTAATAATAAGTGCAATAATGCAGATTATAAATTGCCAACAAATTAATTTGTAATTTTTTTTGCCTTCGTTACAGGAAAAATCCATGCATGCTGCATTCAACGTTAAGACCCTGGTCTATGATGGAAAGATAATTGCCGTATCCAATCTTGTGAGTATGTTATAAAGGGCGGTGTAATTTAATGGAGTGAAGTAATTAATTGAGATGTTGTTGCGTGTTACTTGATTGAGATGTGTAAGCTAATAACCAATTATTAAGTAAAGCAGTAGTTGAAAAGTAAGTTGTTGATTCTAAATGTGACGTGCCCACTGAATGGAAATATTACTCAGTGACTGGTTAATACAGTACACATTAATCAATTTGATGGTTATAAAATGGTTAAAAAATAATTATTTGACATTTTAGGAGTTTGTAGATTGGGTTGGAGCCTGTTCTGTTAACTGGTTTGTCAGTTACACGGTTTTTTTTTGGTTATTTTTTGTTTATATGACACTTACTACTTAGTTTTTACTTTTTTAAATGTTGTTTGCTTCGTTTTTTATTTTGTTACCGTAATCTGTTTTAGATTTTTTTTAGTTTTTCATAACTTTTGCTTATATCAATTGTATTTTTTGTATTTTTTTTAAATTTGTATTTACGATAAACGATGATAAAAGTACTTCAAATGATTTTACATATAAATATTTTATCATAATTTATGATATAAACTCTGAAATCGTTGGACTATTTTATTTACTTTCTAGTGATGAGATGATTTCATTTAAATCAAAGACCATGCTTCTGCCCTCTGAGAAAGGTCAATTTTTGAAGGTCGTCCAGCTGGACTACAACGATTTGAGAACATTCGATTGGTTGGTCATCACAATTCCTGCCTCCAATCAGAATGATGTTAGTATCTTCTAGATAGGTTGTATTTTGAATGATTGTTATAGGTTGTTGGATTTTGAAGTGCTGCATATTCAAAAGAAGGGCAAAAGTATGTTCAATCATACGATGGTTGTTGTTGTTTGGAACGTTTATAACACAGTCATAATTGTTCTTTTATATAATAGGCTGGTGTATGTATTTGTTACAAGGCAATGGTTTTAGATGCTTAGACAAGTTTGTATGTAATGCAAACAGATACAAATAGCGGTAGAGCACATGAACCCCAGACAACGGACTCTCACAAAAGTTGTTCCTTTCTTGTTGAAACCATTCACTAAACACTTCTCACAACTTGCTGATGGCAACAACAACAATAATGAGGATATTGTTATAACGGAAACTACATTCTCTAAGAATTCCATCTATCACAAATTGAATATGAAGGGGTTCTACGATGTTTTGCAGGCATTCCACGTTTCCATTGAACCAGTTAACTGCGGTGCAACAACACAAGGTGGACATTGTATATGTTATTGATGTCAGTGTGGGATGTGAATGTATCAACATGAGATTGACTTATAAGTGTTATTATAATGTTAATGTGTCACCATTAACTCTGGAACTCTTAGTGCTAAATTTCAGTGGTTGTAGGTTGTATCATGAATTATTTTTTTTACACACACACACACACACACACACACACACACACACACACACACACACACACACACACACACATATATATATATATATATATATATACACACATACACACACACACACACACACACATACACACACACACCACACACACGCTATTATGAGCATCACATGCTAACGCTAATATCAACACATTTCAAACAGGACATTCAGTTTTAAAGTTTCAGTCCCCATGGAGTAATGATCCAACTTACACTGTTCTCAGGTAGATATTTTTATGAGAGAGTGGAGTTAATTTATTTGGTGAATTTTTAATGCATGCCATTTCGATTCCCGTTATCAATTAGATTTGTTTAAAAACCATAAATGTCGAAACATGCTCAGCGTATTATCATTCATCTCTATTGAACGTCCATATCAGCTCCGTCGGCTTAGTTTGGCTCGGCTAGGATCTGCTCGGCTCATACTTTCGCACAGTATGGTGCCTTCAAAACGCTGTCGAACAAAATGAATGTAACACGATCGTTGCACCGTCTTGCAGTATAATGCTCCAAAGAATTTTGTTTAGATCTCGTATCACTTGTCTGCATACTTCAGTTACCTGACTACACTTTTTTGAACAACAAAAAAGGCATAGGCTACAATTTTTTTACCTACTCTTCGATATTACTATAACCGCATTAACTATTAGTTAAAATAACAAATTTACCCTTAGTGAAGGGTGGTTGGGCTGATCCCCGAAGTACTGCAATACCGGGTCAACCCGTGGGGAAGTCTGAGTAAGCCTGAGAAAGATCCCTGAGGTCAAAGAATGGTTTAACAACGATGCCTCGCGATGGAGGGCCTATCACATATTAAGCTGATAGACAACGGCGATGATTTGTTTCTTATGGATAAATTGGATAGCTGTAGCTAAGGTGGTTTTGCTATGCACCGCAAAGTATAGTTGGATGTGTTGCAAACTACTTTAAAAATTAAAATGTTATACAATACTATGTTTTAACTATCAAAGTTTATAATTTATAACATGAATCAGTACAATTTCGTGGTTGGTAAATTAAACTAGCAAACAAGATTAAGAATATAATGAAAATAAATAATATCGAGTAAATATATTCCCAGAAGATCAGTTCGATGGCCTAAATAAAATTTTGAATATAGACATAAATATAAACTATTGACTCGATCACATGTAGACATAACGCAGGCAGTGTTGTGCGTTTCGTAGAATTTTACTAAATGATTTTAAATGCCGGACGGATTGAATGTAGGATCATCAGGACACTGCCTGGCAACGTAATGTTGTAACTTCTTGGAAGAATCTAGCGTGGATCACACATACTTGCTCCTGTTATTTACTTGAGTTATATAATCTATACATCTTTCTCAAAACAATAAACAATTAATATTGGCACGATCTTATGAACTGTTTTAGCTACTTATTTTCAGTTTCTACGCTTGAAATTTAATCACTCAGGATGTTTAATATTATCTGAAGCAACAAGTTTAGACCCCATGATGAGGTGGTTGGGCTGATCCCAGAAGTACTGCAATAACGGGTCAACCCGTGGGGAAGTCTGAGCAAGCTCGAGACAGACACCTGAGTTCAAAGAATAGTTTAATATCGATGCCCCCGATGGAGGGCCTATCAGATATTAAGCTGATAAGAACAGATACTACACTTTGATCTTAGCCAAAAGGCCGAGAAGCGATAAACGACGGCGATAATTTGTTTCTTATGGATAAATGGAGTAGTTGTAGCTATGGTGGTTTTGCTTTGCACGGAAAAGTTGTTTTATTAGGTTGGCGCCAAACGTTTTAAAAGTAAAAAATTTGTATAGAAATTTATTTTAAATGTCAAGCGTTTTATTATTATAATTTGAATTGGTATAACGTTGTAATTGACAAATCGGGGTAGGGAATAAAGTAAATATAATATCTGACACCCATGTGGAATTATTGTCGAAGGTGCTGGAAAAGAATTAATGTTATTGACACATGCATCTGATGGCGTTATCATTTGAAAGGAAATAACAATAAATGTCGAGGGAATTAATTTCAAAAAGGCCTCTGTTTGAAGATTTGAACAAAATTCCGATTGGCACTACTGACTTGATAACCTTTGGACTTGACACAAACCGTATTGTGTTGTGTACTTTTGAAAAGTTTTACTTGGTTTAAAATTCATTTTAAATGTAAATAAAATTACTAATTATTAATTACTAATGTTACATAATGTCGAAACTTTCTTTTTTATGAACTACGTATTTTTTAGCTACTTAATCTAGTCCTGAAGAACTAGAAGATTTCACTTGCTTTGAATTATTTGCAATGTATATTTATCATTCAAGATGCAAGCGAGTGTTACTTTGAATTAGTCTGAGAAATATCCTATTAACATTTTCAGAGACAAATTAACTGAGGTGAACATTATGTTGTCATCAAACGAACCACACATGGATAGCACGAACAGGCGGTCCATCAAACAAACGACGCAACAACATCAACAGCAACAACACTCTCCACCATACTTGGAGCTGTACATCGCCTCATCTTGTTCATACAGAATGAAAGTTACCTTGTCCAAATCATCGATGGCTGGACAGGTGGGTCTCTGAGTAGGATGATGATGATGTTGGGGATGACAATGATAATGATGAATAGAATGATGATGAAGAAAAATAAGACGATGAATGATGGTGAGGAAGAGGATGATGATTGGTCAACATTTACACGATGCTATGCAGTTTGTCAGGTTCTATATGCACTACATACCGTCATTCCTAGTTGTTCAAGTGTTTCTTGTGTTCGGCAGACAGTTGAAAACTTTTCAAAGTAAGATAAGATTGTGTTTGTCCTTTTTCATTTCGTTTTATACTGGTGGATGTATCAGTGGATATTTTTAGTTTTGTTAGTCTTATTAATTTTCAAAGCATTCAATAATTGTTGAGCTTTCTGAGTTTACTAACTGGAAAATTTATATGAACTGTGTGCAATTAAGAAACAGAAATTTAGGTTTCCATCGTCTCTTTTGAAAATCTTTCACTTCATCTTTAATCATTTTTTATTTTTATTGTGTTTGCTACTTTTCTTTTACCCATGAATTCAAAACTTTAATTAATTAATTAATTAATTAATTTCAACAGTGAAATAAAAAGTTTAAATTTTTGCTTTTTGATAGATTTTTATTTGGGCAGCAACTTTTTTTTACACTGTTTGTTATGTAATAGCTTTTAATCCACATCAATGTGTTAGTGTTATTAATTTTACATAGTTTTCTTCCATTAACTTGCATAGCTGGGTATGTATAATGTTCGAAATGATTGCTTGCAGGTGTGATGCTGGATGTGAACGTCTGCCTCTTCACCTGGTACCATCCATTCAGTGTCATCCCACTCGTCGCCGCCGGCAGATACCTCCTAAGGTCTCGCACCTTTTAAATCCTGCTGCTTCATTATGTTTTAATTTACAGTTTAGAGATGTAGGTGAATTTATGAATTCAGTAAAATTGCGTTTTCACACAAACAGGGGAGAGTTGTAAATTAAGAATAAACAGTTAATATTATTGCTAAAATTGGTGCATCGTTCATGAATGCAAGCAGAATCGCTTTATCTTCTCTAGGCGTATTTATTTCGTTAGATTGATTTACGAGTAGATAAACGGATGAAATATAAGTTGAAACGTAGCACACTTCAATTCGTTTGTCATCTCGTTGCCTTCCCCTAACAAACAGGTTGATCAGTCAGTTACTTGTATACATGGACTTTTGCATTTTCACCTTTTATGTGCACACGGACGACGATGACATCACTATCCTGAAGCGGAATGATATCTGGAACTCTGCAGTGCTTGTCATCTTATATTTCGTCTCCATGATCCTGGTGTCTCTTCTATCCTACATCTGCCAATTTGCACTTTACTTATGTGCCAAAGTAATGAACCCTGTCTGTAGAAGGTTCTTATGTTTAGCTGATGTATTTATAAATGTTAAATTTCGCATAGTCATACTTTTGTTGTTTTAATTTCTTACCATGATTACCAATCTGAATACAAACATTGTTTGTACGTGTGTATTCTTTAATACATAATATGCATTGTAACTTTTTTCAATTAAATAAGGTTATACAGCAACAAGTTGGGCGTCTTTTTGAAGTGTCTAACTCTCACATGTGCTGCATTATCATCGTGGTTCGTGTGTGGAGCCTGTGGTCTTCTCTTCGTACTCATTGTACATCTGGCCAGGGTATGATCTCTCTCTCTCTCTCTCTCTTTCTCTCTCTCTCTCTTTTTCTCTTTCTTATCCGATGATTATTTCTACCATCACCCGACGATTTTTTTTGCAGGTTTTTTCAATGTATTTAGATACGCCATCAGTGAAGTCATTTCAGACCATCATGTACTACCAAAGTAACATCAGACAGTTCTACCTGACGACATTCCTCTTGTTCTTCTTCCAGTTCGTCGTCAATGCGCCTTCTCTGGTTGTCTACATCAAGGATAAGAATGTGTTGGTTGCTGTTTGTGATTTATTTTTGTTTTGTTATTCACCGGTGTGGTTGATGGTTTTGCTTATTGCTTGTTTTGTTCTAACTTATTTACAGCCAGGTGGTAAAAATATATTGTAAAGAAATGGCTTTGAATATTTTTATGATTTCTTAGGTTTGTATTCACGGCTAATGTTGTTTGTGAGAATATTCCATTCTATGTTTGAATTTGTTAATATGTAGTACGTCTCTACTATATTTCCTGTTAGGTCGATAATTTCCATTCAACGTCACCAACATAGTTTGCTTATTTACAACTCTTCACTTTTTACTATTAATATAAATGCATATCTCACTTACGACCAATCGCCAATGCAGCTACAGCATGCACGACGACCCATCATTCTGCCACGCTGTCGTTGCCATCGTGACTTCCATCGTACTCACATCTTCATCATATCCTCTCAAATATCGGTTTGTTGTTTTGTTGTTGTCGTCATCATTGTGTTGTCGTCGTTATTGTTGCCGTTAATGTTTGATCTGTTGATGCGTTGTTATTGTTTTGTTGCGGCTAATGTCATGTGCACTGTTCTTTGTTGGCACGGTAACGCGGGGCTTCAGAAATTATCGACAACACATGTAAACAGTAGATGTATTTATTTATATATATATTATTATGTTTATTATTCAACCAGGTTACATAGCAAAGCCGTCAGTTACGTCATCCATCTTACGGCTCTGTTCACAGTTCTCTACGCTACTGTTAGTTGCATTTCTTCTTCCACTTTTGAATAAGCACTATTGTTTTTTTTTTCTGGTTGTAATTATGTTAATGTTGATTAGGCGAATATTTATATTGATTATGATGACGCTGGTACTGATGGAAATCGACGAAATGGTGATGAAATGACTCGAATGTGACTGCTCGGTGATGGCTTCGATTGCACTGATGACGGTAATGATGATGACGACGAGAATGATGATGGTGATAATGGAAGTTATGACAGTAGAAGTGATGATGCTAACGACATCGATGATAGAGTCTAAAAACGTTTTGAAGGTCACCTTGTACCGACTGCCTTACTTCATTGACCTCATCCTCATCATCCTCCTACTCCACTGCATCCTATCTTCGATCTTCTCATCATCTGACTCATCATCGAGTCGTATTGAAGATGTCCCTCTGCCAGATGGGGGCCTCAAAGAATTTAAATTTTGCAAGAAAAAGTAGAAAGTGGTTGATGATGATTGAGAGGATGGTGATGTTGGTGATGCAGTTGTTGTTGGTTTGATGTTATCATTGTGATTTTGTTGTTGTTTTATCTTCTTACCATTTAAGCATAACCGTCATTTGTGATTTCACCACAATTTTGGTGTTAATTTCTGATGTCTCCTTTCTTTGTTTTTGTATTTTATGATTTTTTATGATGTTCCAGACGATATTTTTGCAACACTTATTACTTTTAAATTACCATACATTGCGTTTAGCGCTGCATGTATATGTTAATGTATGTTTGTTGCATGTGTGTGTGTGTGTGTGTGTGTGTGTGTGTGTATGTTTGGTGTGTGTGTGTCTCTATTCGTGTTTCTTATTCATTGATTGCTGATCGTATTTCATTCAGTTTATTTTTTCTCCAAAATATGGAGTGTAGTATTGTTGGGT